TGTGTGGGTGGGTAGGCATTACATTCACTGTGTGGACTTCCGAACAAAGATGTCCACATAAACCAGGTAGAGGAGACGTTGTGTGTGGGTGTGGGTGTGTGTGTCTGTCTGTATGTCTCTCTGCCAAGTTTGAAGTGGTTTGGATGAGCGGTTCTCGAAAAAGCTGCAAAAAAACATTATTTCTGAGGCAAACGTGGCAGAATATAGCTAAGAACATAACACACCGCACTGCAGTTCTTTTCAATTGTTTACGTCGTGTAAAGCTAAAGCGCACATGCTCAATATGACGCAACACTGCCGCGCGTGCGCATGGCGCCACTGAGTTGTGTGATGTCACAATTAACACTGCACGCGTGTACGTGTGCAAACAGCTAGCTGACCTTTACTGGGGGCTATTCCATTATCAAAAATGGATACAAGGAGGCTATTCCATTATCAACAATGGGTAAATAAGCAAAAGCACTTTTTCCTTCCTCATGTTTTCTTACTACATGTATAATTCTGTCCACGTTTAAAAAAATGTGCGTTCAACCTGTGAGTGTGCGTTCAACCTGTGAAAACAACTCCATTGAATTGCGTGCGTTGTTTGCATGAGCAGTTCTCAAAAACGCTGCAAGCAATCAATACCAGCGGCCAAGCAATTGTCCCCTCCCGAACGTGCATATTTTAGACGGGCACTGCACTAGTCTTTACTATAATTCCAGGAATCTCTGTCTGTGTGTTTGTATTTGTAGAGTCATTTTCCTGGAATCTGTGACCATGTTGAGGATACCTTTTTTTCTCAATGGATTTGACAAATAAGACCAATTTGAAGAAAAAATAGCTCCTTTACTTCTCCCAAAATTGAAGGCAAACTTTTTTATAGCACGTTTTTCAAAATGGCCGCCGGGCAATATTGAAAAACATAAAAAGTGATATCTCGGGAACCAGATGAGCCATATTGATAAAATGAGGTGTCGATTCCAACAATTTCTGGCAGGACAAATCTGCTAAAATGGTATTTACGTTTCAGGATCATTGTGACCTCAAAATTCAAAATGGCGACTGGTAGCCATCTTGAAAAACACCAAAGTGCAGGTATTATATTTCTGGAACCAGAGGAGCAAAACAGACATTTAAGATGTTATTTTCAACTAATTTTAGCATTACAATCCATTAGAATTGTTCTTTTGACTTTTCAGGGACAACCATGACCTGCTATTTGACCTGCTATTTTTCAAAATGGCCGCCGACGCCATATTGAAATACAAAAAAAGTGATATCTTGGGAATTAGATGGGCCATATGGATAAATGAGGTGTCGATTCCAACTATTTCTGGCATGACAAACATGCTTAAATGGTACCAATGAGAGCTGTTGCGATAAAGTTAGAGTAAAACAAGGAAAAGGGAAGAGGAACAAAAGGAAATCCTCGATTTACACCATAAACAAACGTGTGGGTGTGTGTAAAACATGTACGTGTGCATATGTACATGTGCATGTACATACATTTACATGTACATGTACATGTACATGTTATATCTAGATTATATGAATTTTTAAAAATCATCTAGACGTGCATCTAGATTTAATCAGAAATATTATTTCAACAGCACCGCAATGACATGAAGTTTATTACAAATTAATACCAGTCTGCTCTAATGAATAATTTTAAAATTGTGATTAAACCCTATAGTTTTTAGCCACATTCAAAAAAATGAAAGTAAGGCTAGAATGCATTGATAGTCTGGCACCTTCCTAGTCAACAGTTTACAATTTATAAAATACATTCAGGGAACGCGACCAAAAATGGCTTCCTCGTGAATAAGGTCCATGGCGTCGAATTTCTCTCCAGTTGTCTCCCCAACTTCTCCCTTTCTCACCCACCGTTGAGGGGGTACTTCTTCATGGAGTCAACAATCCCCATCGGAATGGTATCATCTTTAACAAGTAGCGTTTTATGATGCCTTATACAGCCTTGTGGTCCCGAAAGCCTACACATCGCCGTTGTTAAACAAAGTTAAGCCGATTAAGTACATAGACGCTACCGTCAGAGCAGTGAAATTCATGCAGCCCCCAAAAACATGGCTTTTTTTAATGTTATATTTCAGAAAATATGCTCAGTATGATTGAAATGTTAAATTATAACAGAAGAAGAAATTCTAAATTTCGTGTCAGTGAAAAAAATTGCCGGTATTGACGACGACATGTCATAACTGGTCACTGGTGAATCTGACCTACAAGTCGTGAAAAATCGTTCGAAAAGGTCACCAAATCTATCTATTTATCTGAATGTCTAGGAATCTCCACGAGTTGTTATTGTAGTTGAAAACTAATATCACCGAAGTACATTAGAATTTCAACTTAATATGCTGCTGCAAACGCTTGTGTTAAACCTTTAACTATCTCCGAGGAAACTTTGGACGAGGATTTTTGCCGACCAAACTTACGTGCTTGGTTTTTAGGTTGGCTTTTTTTCGAGCTACAATGACGAAGCGCATATTAGCAACTTTATTAGCACTCGGCGTGACTTCGCGTGGGTCTCGGTATCGACCAATGGAAGCCGGCAAAAAGGGTGATATTTATTAATTATAACTCGTGAAGAAGGCGATACTGCAACAGTTTACTGCACACACATGGATAGGAACCTTAATAATATTCGTGAGGCTTGAAAAGGTTGACAAATATTGCAAACACCAGTGTTACAGCTTTGAAATATGGACGCACCCAAGCCTATTTTTTTAATTTCAACGAAAAATACTGAACGTATCAAATGAATTTTAGCACATAGTTGCATCTTTATAATGGAAACAAAGTTGCATGGAGATACGGTCTTCCAAACGGGAGGAATTGATTTCAAAGATTAATGGTGACAAAGTCATGTATGTGTGAGATATTCAAACCGGCCGTGGAATTTGAAAAGGCGGGGTGGGGGTGGGGGTGGGGTGGGGCTGGGGCTGGACACCACATTACACTAAGGGGGGGGGGCGCTCTTCAGGATATAGATGTATAACAACATGTATACTAGCGCTTACATCAAAACAGCGCATTTTAAATGCTTTTGTATTTGTTTCTCCACTTTTCAGTGCTATTGAATACATTTTGGTTGTTGGGATGTACGAAAAATACCTCAAAATCCGCATTTCTTTCTCATCATTTTTAGACCAGGGTGGATAATGATAGCCCAACACCCCTGGTCTAAAGGTGGGGGGATATTCACCCCTGCAAATAGTGTAAGTCGAAACAAAAAAGGGTTGGGTGGCTCACTTTCGATATCGGACCGTCTTTTGATCGCACCGGTAGATAGTACGATCCACGCCTTTCATTGGTTGAAGTTAATCGGAGAGCGTTTGTGACTTAAACGATTATACTTTTTTTATCGGGAACTTGGGAATTGTGTAAACAATTATGGGAGTCTTGAATTTTATTTAAGTGTTTTTAAACAAATTCCACTATTGTTCTCAATCCCAAATTATTTAAAAAACAAACAAACAATTGTATTCGCTATGACTGACCACCATAAAAGTGAGAAATAGCGTGGCGATACCACATTTTATTTAACTCTTTTTACTAACCAGTTATCCTACCAATTTGATCTTTTTTATTTTATTACTACAACATCCAACATCGGGAATGCGAATGACAAGCTGATCACATTAAAAACCAAACCAGTAAAATATTGGCAATTATTTGTTATATATCGAATATTTTTCGTGTTGTTTGGATTCACTGGGAGGCGAACCATTCTCGTTGCATCATTCAACACTGAACGTTGAAAGCACTTTGCGATAGGGGGGCGGCAGCATCTACTAGCACACTCAACGATGAGAAGTGGAGGCTAAAAAAAACAGCGTGTTGCAGATCTTGGACTTGTCTGTAGAGTCTTCAATGATTACATCTCGGTTCCTTTAGAACGCTCGGAACGTTCTCATTGGAACGGCGTGTTCCCGAACAGGAACGCTCCGGCGTTCTATTGGGAACACGGGACCGTTCCGTTGGAACGGCGAAATCCCTTTGCGAGAACGGTCCAGCGGAACGGTCGGGAACACGCTGTCTATTGCGCGTTCCAGCGGAGCATTCCCAGCATATTGCGAATACGATGGCCCAGTTTCGAATATTTGCCCAAATTGCGTCAGGAAATATGGCGGCGCGATCTCCGGCAAACCGTGTGGGATCTGCCGTAACAATAGCCACTGCGTTTCGTAATCGATTATATTTAACATAAATTCACTTAACACATTTCGAAATCCCCTAACCCCTCCTCTACCTACATTTTGGTTTTTTTTGGGGGGGGGGGATTTTCCTAAATGTAGTAAGCATTATCAAAGTATTATTTAAAAAATATTGTTCTTGCACAAGCATACTTTGACGTGAATACACACTCACCTTAGCGATTGCATGTGATGTGAGGTTCGGGGATACCGAAATTTCACCATAGAAACGATATTTACATCATTAGATTTACCAAGATTCCACCCGCGTTAACGCTAACTCGTATACCTTGTGTTGAACTATTTACCCAAACCATCACAGAAATGTCACAATCACGTCAAAATATTATATATAAATCCTCAAAAACGGGCAAAACCTACCGTTCAGTGAAGTTCTCTGGTGAAATTTCGCCCTGAACTTTTACATCGCAACGGTGATTGTGTATTCACGTTTACAATTAATACAGGGCGCATGTTTGTAGTATAAATGCAAGAACAAAACATGTTTTTGACACTAGTACGTAATAGGTTTACTGAAATCACTCGACAAAATAGCGTAGAAGGAGTGAGGGATTTTGAATTACAAAAATCATTTCCAAACAATATAGCCTTCATCTCGAAAACAGCCCCGCTGATATAATAAACGAGAGCGCCTGTATGTTTTGTCATGGTACTATGTTATACTTTTACGAAATAAAAATAGAAAAGGATAAGAGCGGAGCTTACTATTGACGATGTACTTTTTGTCAGACAAAATCTACGTTTGAACATAAACTCTGACTCCGGGTCCTCCTGCACGGACGTACTCACGTATACCCGAGCGCGAATACCTATCCGTGCAGCGTTCCGCCGGGAACGCGGTGTTCCCTCCCCGTTCTAGCAAGACTGCAGCTCGGTCTGTCCCCCTCAAGCCGCGGAACGCACCCGCGTTCCATCGGGAACACGGCATGTTCCCGTTGGAACGCCTGGCGTTCCTATGGAACATTCCATTGGACCGCAAACGTTCCTGACTTATGAGACGTTCCTTTAGGTTTCATGGGGAGCACGGTTGTTTATGTCAATTCCACGTGGAATAAAATGTTCGTATATAAATTAGGTATGGTTCAGGTACGTGTGCATGGTGTGGATATGTTCATGTACAAGAACCGGGTGAGTTTGCTTTTTATTTACTAAAAGAGAAACTCAAGTTGTTGTTTTTAATGTGCAAACTGTTAGGCTATAGCGTAACAAAAGAAAATCGCACCAAACCCCTGAAGTGTAAAAAACAACAATAACAACCACAAAACCCCAACCAAAAACAAACGAAGAAAACAATGACAAATCATAATCCTTCACAAATAACTGAAGTGTAAAAAACAACAATAACAACCACAAAACCTCAACCAAAAACAAACGAAGAAAACAATGACAAATCATAATCCTTCACAAATAAAGTTATTCTCTTGTACATGCAGTTTCCCAAAATAGATTGTCATCACACAGAACAACAAGCACAGCGTATATCTTTCCGTTTACGCTATGTTCAATGCTACAGGATATGGCGTGGTTTATACCAACACAGGGTGGAAAAGTTCCCACCATCTACACACGGCAGTCCCTTGTTCCTTGTAAGATACACCCATGAAAATGCAAACACTCCATAAACTAGATGTATGTTTGTTGACAAATATATGGCTATTTCGCTAGTGTGGTTTTTTCTGTAATGTTATAGACTAACGGGAGATAATAGATGTGAAGTCGGAAATTGCAAAATCATGAGGACAAACGGTACAAAGACATATGCGTAAAAATGCAGATTGGATTGAATGTCTAATCTTATCTGATGACGTCATCATGACGCCACTACAATGTTCATCTATATCGCATCAGGGTCTAGTTACATACCAATTTTTAACCCAATCAGACATGTAGTTCAAGAGATATATGCCTCCAAAATACGTTTATTGACTATGTCGTCATATGTCGTGTGATGACGTCATCATGACGTCACTTTAATTTTTATCCATAACACATCCCAGTCTAGATAAATACCAACTTTCAAACCCATCGGACCTGTAGTTCAGGAGATATAAGCCTTCAAATCATTTGTATTTTGTATGACGTCAAATGTCACGTGATGACGTCATCATGACGTCCAGTTGATTTCCATCCATAAGACATTCCGGTCTAGGTACATACCAACTTTCAACCCAATCGGACCTGTTGTTCTGGAGATATAGCCCAATCTGTCAGATCTATCCGAATTCTGCAAGAAAATGGTCACAACAGAAAAATCGCATATAATGTGACGTCACGTGTCTCGTGATAACGTCATGATGACATCAATGTTTGGGGCACAACTTCAGGTGCTGGTCTAGGTTCGTGCCGAGTATAAAGGCAATTGGATTAATTTTAGTGCCCGTCACGATAAAACAAACAATACTCTATTTAGTTCAAGAGATATAACGCAAACTGTTTTGTCAAAATTTGCCCTTAAATCGCTTGTAATTTAATATCTGATGACGTCATGATGACGTAACAAAATGTATTACATCTCCGTAACATGGTACAAGTTCACACAAGATCTATGTGATTGTACCGTAAACCGTTCGGAAGAAATTTGGCTTTGTTTTGATTTCAGGCTAACGTATTCATTTTGATTTCACCTAACTTTGACCTCCCGGTAGACCCGGAAGTAAAGGTCAAGCGTGTTTACGTACAGACAAAAAATGTTATCACTTAATGGTCTATCTGATTACAGAATACAAACATCATTGATTACCTTGCTCAAGAGTTATCGATGAACATAATTGGTCACTTTTTCAGCTAAAATCGCTTGTAATTTGACACCAGATGACGTCATAATAACGTCAGAGTGATATGCACCACTTGGGATGAAGGTCGATTTATATTGAAAGTTACAAGTTCATATCATAAACCGTTTAGGAGAAAACCCGCGGTAACGTGCTGTACGGAAAAAAAAAAAGAAAGAAAGAAAGAGAGAAAGAAAGAAAGAAGAAAGAAACAAATCAGAACAAAAAGACAAGCTTTTCCGCAACAATGTTGAAAAGCCATACAAAAAGAAAAAAAAATCTTAACGAAAAACAAGAGCTGTTTCGGTGTGTCACCAAAACAGCTAAAAAGAAAAAAAATCTTCACGAAAACAAGAGCTGTTTCGGTGTGTACACCGAAACAGCAAAAAAAAAATCTTAACGAAAACAAAGGCTGTTTCGGCAAAAGTGCCGAAACAGCCAAAAATACACCAACGACACAGGAAGGAAATGAGGCCATGGATCAGCTCCAAAATTCCAAACTGAACATGTATGTGTATCTCTACAGAATGTGATTCGCCGTCAAGAAAATGGACCAAAAAAGTTTTTTTCGAAGTAAACTAACACTTTAAATGCAGAGTTAGACACAAGTACATTTATCAATTACAAATGGTAATATAAAGTAAAACCTGTTTTGTTGGATGCGGGATTCAAATAATGTTTGAATATAAACTGTTTATGACCCCGTTCAATTTTCTATAAAACGTTTTTCTTTTAGTTTGTGGGCCAAAGCGAAGACATTATATTATAATATCCATACTCTCGTGACTTTCGTGGGAAAAATATGAAAACTAAGTAAAATTCATTGGTTGTTTTTTAGACTCGCTTATGTATCGAGAGGGCGCTATCCCCCTCATGTCTTAACCACCTAATCAATCAGTCAATAACACATCTAAGTAGAGTTCTACGATTAGCAAGATGCATTACAGATACTAATGAACATTTTTTTTCTGCTGAGTTCTGTGTCTTATACACTCCGATCCTCAGCCATTCATTTACTAAAAAAGAAACTCAAGTTTTAATTAGATGCAAACTGTTAGGCTATAGCGTAACAAAAGAAAATCGCACCAAACCCCTGAAGTGTAAAAAAAACCCACAAAACCCCAACCAAAAACAAACGAAGAAAACAATGACGAATCATAATCCCTCAGAAATTTAGTTATACTCTTGTAGTTTCCCAAACATATCAGCTACTCTGGATTGTCATCACATAGAACAACAAGCAGAGCGTATATCTTTCCTCTTTCGCTATGTTCAAGGCTACAGGATATGGCATGGTTTATAACAACACAGAGTGGAAAGGTCCCACCATCTACAAACGGCAGTTCCTTCTTCTTTGTTCTATGAGATTCACCCATGAAAATAAAAACACTCCATAAACAAAAATCCACTAACGACGCAGGAAGGAAATGAGGCCATGGATCAACTCCAAAGTTATTGTTAAAAATCAACGATTCCGAACTTTACATGTAGGTGTATCTCTATTCTCTACAGAATTTTATTCGCCGGCAAGAAAATGGACCGAAAAGTTTTTTCGAAGGCCACTAAAACTTTAAATGTAGAGAATTTCTTTCATAGATTTTCATTGCTTTCATGTGTCGGTTTTTGACAGACCTCAAGTCTAGAACATAAAGAAGAAAACTAAATTTGGTGCATCTCTGTTAACCAATCTTAGAACATTTAAAACCGAATTCCATTTTGCACTAATATTGGCAGGGCTGGCGGAAAATAAACAAGGTCCTTAATTCAGTTCAACAATTGTATAAATTGAAAGTATATTGTAACACTTGTAATGTTGATATGTTTTAACGTCTTGATAACGCTGACAAGGGTCCAGAGCAGTGGCGTAACGGGGGGGGGGGGGGGGGGCACCTCCCCATGTGCAAAAGTCGAAATGTTATACGCAGCAAGATTTCTCGCGTAGCGCCCTTAGGTCTGTTATGTGGTTATGTAGGCAAGCACTGTACACCCAGCGCCGGCCGGTCAACGCTTGTCCTTCCACGGCAACGGTGCACTGCCGGTGACAGCGCCGCGCCTGGCCTCTGGGCCGCACATCCCCACCGGCCATCGCGTGCACGGCCGGCGACAGTGCCGCGCCTGGCCGCACAGCCCCACCGGCCATCGCCACGGCGCAAAAACTGCTCCGCGCGAAAAAAAAAAATCGCGCTACAAAATCAATTTTTTCAGCCAGAAAAACCTCCAAACCATGCACATTTCTGAGAAAGTGTTGTTTAATTTTCCAAAAATAGTTCAATCAAGAGAATACCATCAAATTTTTAAAAAGAGAAAAACGTAAATGATTGAAACTTATGTCGAGCTTACACGGACCGAAAACATTTTGACTCGGCACAGAATACGTCACACAAAATCGATTAACGTGCGTGTAGTTGGGTCGTATGTGCACGCGCGATCCGGAACTAGTTAAAAACATATGGGCATTTGTTGGTGAATTTTCAAAAATAAGAGACTCTAGAACCTATTTTGATTCAACAAACATTCGATGGACGAGTTTATACGACTGTAGTGTATGACAAAAAAATTGAAAACACACAGTACGAGTGGTTTTCTAAAAACGGTCCAAACAAGTTAAAGTGCGAGTCAGAAATGTCGCCAAAATTCACTCTCTAAAGATTTTATCGAAAATATCTTTGTCTATCAAGAAGCTTACATTTTTCTTTTCAAAATGCACTTCGTCCAAAAAAAAATGATTGGAGACTAATCCAAAAGATTTAGGTTTTTATTTGAAGCTATTTGGAACTAGGAACAATCTGGAACTATGAAAACGACTGAACTAGCGAGCGAGCGCAGGCTGCGGACCTCGTAGTCTTGGAATCAAGTGGTTGAACATTCCAGTTTTTATAGGGATAGGTAATCGACGCCCGCGGGATGTTGATAGAGCTGATGTAGTACACCTGGTACGGCCTGACCGCTACAAACGCCTTGCGTCCAGTGGCGGTGCTACGGGGGGGGGGGGGGGGGGGGGGGGGGTGGAGGGGGGGGGGGGCTGGGGGCTGGGGGCTGGGGGGGGCTTGAGCCCCCCCCCCCAAAAAAAAAATCAATCAATCAATCAATAAATAAATAAATAAATAAATATAAAAATTGCATCAGCAAAAAAAAAAAAAAAAAAAAAATTAAAAAAATTGAGTTAGCAAAAAGAAGGAATGTGACCTACATGCGAACGGTCTCCTCCTAAAGAAATAGCCGTGACAAGGGTGCATTTTTAGTTATTATAGTGTGCCTGATTGTACGATTTTACTGGTGCTCCCCATTGAAAATATGGCACGAGCCCCCCCCCCCCCCCCCCACACACACACCTATTGATTTTCGGAGGTCTAAGTGTCCGGAGGGAATAGGCGGTCTACATTTCAGCACGCTTCCCTGAAAAAAATTCTGGATCCGCCCTGCTAGCCCCTCCCCCCCCAAAAAAAAATTTGGCTCTAGAACCGCGCCTGCTTGCGTCAAAGTCTACTGAAAAACCACCTCCTTCCTTTGTGTTTCACACAGTGGGTCTATACACGTACAAGAACATATACATGTACAGTACATACAGAGGACGAAGTTTGAAAAGAAACACGAGAACTGAACTGAAACAACAGACATGAAAATAAATTTCAAAAACAGTAGTTACTCCATTTTGATTTATGTTTCTCATTCGAATCAGCTTCAATTAGTTTAAAACTGAAACTTACCAAAAGAGAAATACGAAACCGAAAGTAGCAGAAAAACTTCACAGAGCAGCGTTCTCTCTCTGTCATGTCTGTAAAACGCCATGTTGCGATCACGATTTTCATAATATGAAAATATTAATTCCGCATGTGGTGGGCTGAGTTATGCTTATCGTACCATACTACGAGGGAATATGTTTGGCCTGTTCTATTCCGTTCGGGGTATGGACTCCTCTTTGAATATCAAATTGATTTATATTGGTAGTTTTCAGGTGTTTTAAATATCGTCTTGCATACTAAAATTGTCATCAATGTAGAATTTAGTCCCCCTTCAACAACTCTTAATGGACGAAACAAAGTCCTTTATATTAGGTCTACTGGATGACTAAAAAATAACATTGAAAAAGATATGTTTAAAGAAACGGATTTCATATGCATGCGTCATCGTTAGGTGGCGTACGTGGTCATCCCTCCCGAAAAAAAGAGGAACAATTAAAGTTTTAACAATGAAATGTGTAATTATGCGGTGCATTTACAGATTTCAGTTCACCTCGGCGGTTTTTATTATGGCATGCCTTCATCAGTGAAATCCTGTCAGCACACGGAGTGGATTAGGCTATTTGGCTTAGTGCGCTCACCTGATGAAATAATGACCTCTTCTTCCAGCCTAAATTCCGCCAGAGACAAGCAGTTATTGTATAAGTCCACGCTCACGTACCGAGCAGAGACTACAGGGTCCGGTACGAAATCTAGAGTCTGTCCGCCAGGGTAGGCTTGACCATAGGTGACTGGTGATCCGATTGGTGCGTTCTGTGAGTGATCTGCGTCCAATCCAGCTCGTACAATAGCACCTTGTAATCGGCGACCTAGGGTGATAAACAGTTGAACATCTTTAATCGAAATCACAAAGAAGTCACAAAGTTTGAGCTACCCCTCAGGACTTTTACGTTACAAATTCATAAAATGGTTTTAAAGAGTAAATTATAAAATAGTTTTGGAAAGAAGAGAACAGTACATGAGCTTTGAATACCCCGTTTTTATGTAAGATTAAGGGACGTATAGACGCGCGTTTGCATTACACGTAGGCCTACATTATTTCGTAGAAAAACAGCGCCCCATATATAGTGTCACATGGTGTCTTTTCGAATTTCCATGACCAGGTAACTTTAGGAGGTTGCAGTATGATCATCCCCCATCCCCCACTCGCCAATACGAATTTACGCCACGGTCCGTTCCCTATATATTATTGCCGGGCCGCAGGTAGGTCTTGGCCTAATTGGACACTTGTTCAGTAAATAATCCGTAACTAAGTCGGTTGTTGGTTTGTTCGCGTCCTCGTTAAAAAGTGAAGGAATTTTGTATTGGAAGAGAAATACCAACTTAAAAAGTCCATTTTGGGGTGATAGTAGTAGTAGTTCCGTCATGTTTAGGTCCGCGACGTTAAATCTTGAATACCTAAAACCTTACCATGTCCTCCCTTTCTATTAACTATGGTGATCCGCTGCAAGCGATAGGTAGTCCCCAGATCAACCCTCCACCATTGGTTTCCAGTGCAAACTGAAACAAAATAACCGTTACAGTGATATTATGTAACAAATAGTTAATTATTTTGTTCAGCTCTTGTGGACATTAAGATTGTGCCTTTTTGTATGAACATTCGGTATTGAGGTGGTTATTACTACAAACGAAGCAAAATTAGCTTTGACAACTTGGCAACGTTTGTTAAATTTGTTTTACATATGTGTTTTTTTATGGGAGGCAGGTGGGGCCGAGAGCCGCCAAGCACCCATAGAAAAGCGCACATGTTACCAGAGCATGACGTCATCAGTGCGGTCTCAAGACCATGTTGCCTGTGAACTTACGAGGGAAAGGTATGACAGAAAAATGTGTTGATATAAAATCAATGTCGCAAAATATCCCTATCGAAGAACTAGACATCACATTTTAATCGTGAATGTAAATAAATTACAAATAAAAAAAAACCCAAAAAAACTTACATGTATGTGAAATCGTGTCAATGTCACCGTCAACTGCCCAGTTTGCGAAACTATCCACACTTGTGATGTTACTGCTCTGACTGACATATTTGTCCCGCAGGTTAATAAGGGCCACGCCTGCAAATGAACAAACTTATGCTGACAATTAACTTAATGTGCACTTTCGTCTTAAGTTTAAAAAAACAAATGAACACTGTTTTTGTTTTTGTTTTTTTTTGTTTTTACATTTGACACGACAACTATATTTTGCCTTACCTATACGTATTTCCAGTAGTAAATAAAGCTATCCAAATGAGCCAAACTGACCAAAACACATCTCATCATAAATGACAGTTCACCCTAGCTTTGGTTTTAGACTGACACGCCGCTGGCGATCCTATAGCGCGCAAACGTTTGAAGCAACTGTATGGCCGGAATGCCTGGAATAACGACCAGCACTCCAACCACTCCATTTTCGTTGACCAACATTTTAAAATCAAGTTTGAAAGGTACAGTTGTACCTTAACAACTATAACATTTCTTTGAAGAAAATTAATCGACCCCAAAAGTGCTCCTTTAATATCACAGAGAATTTTATGGAAACTGAAAGTGACAAGTGCGCACAGAAAGTGACCAAACAGAGCCAAGAAAGAAAGTTCGACCTCTAACACAAAAATGTTTCTCTTTGTCCTCTGTGTGCCGCCGGCTCATTTATGAGACTTGAAAGACCTTCTTTAGGCCTATTTTAATGTCTAAAACAACTGACAGACTTCGTCCAATAACAGTTCCTCCTGCAAACAGTACCCATCAATAAAAATATATTAATATAATCATGCAACTTATCCCTTTGAAAACTGGAACTTATTGCAGCCCTAAGTCATATAAATTGATACAATACTGAACAAAAAAAAATGTACATTCAATTTTATTGCGTTTTTGTAATAGTCAATGAGCAAAAGATATTACACTTGTTACTAAGGAAGCGAAAAAGTAGCAATACTATAGTTCACCATGCCTCACCCGAGGCTTGCTTCCCCCACCCAATCCCCTTAAATTTGGAGAACCTAACCATGATATTGAAATATTAAAAACCATGTTGAAAACTATGACCAAACTCATTGTGTCCCCCCCCCCCCCCGCAAACGGGACCCAGCTGAGGGCCCTTGGTTCATGGACAATAAGTCTCAGCAAACAAACTTTGCATGTGTTATAAACATGACCAACAAAAGCGCGCAGGAAGTATACTCCTGCATGTACTTATTTTTACTTATACAGTCGGTCATTTTAGAAATCAAGCCTTACCTTGGCTTGGAATGAAGAATAGTAGCAGGAGTATCCTTGCACCGAGATAGCAAGCTCGACTCGTCTCCATGGCTTGTTTCTCACCGCAGTTAATAAATCCCACCGTGTTACACTCACAATGACACGGCTCACGCGGCGTCCATTCTTTTGAACTGGCGCATCAATAACTGCTTAGTTTATGCTTAAAACTGAGCATACGTTCGACTGGAGCAGGAAATATCGTACAGACGGCCTGTTTACACATCAACTTTCAGGGGTTTCCCACTGACCTCTTGATGATCTCTGCTCGCAAAGTTGTTCGCACGTTTAGGTTACATTGCTAGTTTCCGGATTCACCACCCGTTTCCGTCAAAATTCGAGAAGCCTCGCGAACATTGCACTGTTGGTCACACGCTGCTCCGATTCATGTTCTTGCGCAACATGCTGAGTTTTCAAAAATATCACGGCAAATATTGCTACATATAAGGTCTTATATACATATTAAGTCATTCGTTTGAGTCCACTCAACCTCGCACTCTGGACACAAATAGTACGTCACGTCGTTCAACTACACATCTTCAAACAGCTACCAAATTGGAACGAGGACGTTCCCGCCCGCTTTGAACTTGAAGATCGCAGTGATTTTACAGCTGTGGCTTCGACGTTTTCGACATAGGGGAGAACTTATATTCAATTAAATCTTTTCCTTAAATAATATGTTTGACCTATTTTTTTTTTAAAACTCCATCCGTTGATGACTTGCCTTCCCAATGCATCAGTTCCCTTGGTATATTCCTTAGTATAGGATAGGCTTAACCGAAAGTCCTAAAATGCATGATGGAACGACAATGATGCGTTTTCGTTCGACATAGGATTCTGTACAACTTTTATTTTGCCTGTGGGCCCAATATCTTTACATCACTGTCTGATTCCCTTCTCAATTTTTGGATGAATGGATTGAGATTTCATTCTATCTCTTCTAAACACCACTAGGTAGATCGTTGGAGCATCACTGATGACTATGCAACCAGCTCTCACCACATCTTTCGATTCTCCGCTGCCCTTTGAGAATCGGCAAACTCAAGGTCAGTCCACTATCTGATTTTATCTTGCCACCTCTTTTTCTGCCTCCTTGTTTTCTTCCCTTTTGTGGCCTCTAACTGTGCCCCGCAAGATGGTCTTTGCTATGCCAGATGATCGGGAGATATGTCCATACCAGTTTAGATTCTTGATAGTTACTGTGGTCAGGAGATCTTCGTACACTGTAAAAACTCCCTGGTCAAAATTGACCCAGAATCTGCGTCTATATCTGCACAACCCTTTTCCAGGTCAAAATTTACCCTTTTCTGGTCAACATATACTTTTTCTGAGTCAAAGGTGACATTTGTCATATATCATTTTGACCTAGGATAGCGTCTTTTTTTACCCTAAAACCGACTTTGCAGATATAGACTCATATCGGGGTCAGTTTGAGTTTTTAGAGTGTATGGCTCGATATCCTTGTGTTGTGTGATCTTGTGAACCTTCTCATTTGTCACACGGTGTTTGCATGAGATGCGCAAGATCTTGCGGTAGTACACCATTTTCACGGCTTGTATTCTTCTGTTTAGCTCAGCAAAGAGGGTCCAAATTTCACAAGCATAGATGAAGTTGCATATCATGAGGGAGCGCATCAGGAGCAGTTTGGAACTAAGAGTGAAGTCACTGTCGTATCGCATTGGATTCTGCTTAGACCGCGCTGCTGTGGTTCGCGCAATTCTGTAGAGTATCTCAGGTTAGGAGCCTTCATCTAGATCCTAGATTCTTGAAGCTTGAGACTGAGTGACGCATCTGAACTCTGACTTTGATTTCTTTGGTTATGCCGTTTTGCGTTGTTGGTCATCTCATGTTTAATAGCTCCATGGGCATCCGCTTGGCATTGATTTCCATGCCGTAAGCTGTGCAAGTCCTGTCAAGGCAGTCCACCTAATCGGCTAGATGTTGCTCACAACCTGCTAAGCCATGAATACCATCAGCCAAACGAAGGTTGGTGATAGTCCTGCCGTCTATGCTGATTGTCTATGCCTACAGGATCTTTGATTGAGCACGTCAGTCATAAGGTTTTCCAGAAAGATATTTAACAGGTTGTTAAGGGTAGGCAACCATGTCGCACTCCAACGTTGCTTCGAAACCGGTTTCCAGTGTTGTTTCTAATAAGGACTGCACTTTGCGGGGTCCGATCCACCAATTGGTTTATACTCAACAATTGGAGGATCGGATCCCGCGATTGCGGGGTCCAATCCTTCCCGAAAGGGTATTCAGCTAGGGGAATCCGATCCGGCTGAAGGCTCGATCCACCTCGCGTTTACACATGCGGTTAAGCAGACTTCCATCCTCCTTACCGGATCGGATTCCCCTTGCGGGTGTGACAGGTAATTCTGTCCCCCCTGGTAAATGTGTGTGTCCCCCCCCCCCCCCCCCCGACACATTTACCGGCTCGTGACCCGGTAAATGTGTCCGGGGGACACTTTTACCTAGGTAAATTTGTCCCCCTCCAGGTAAAAATCTCCCCCTGCCCAACGGTCAAAGTGTCCCCCTGGTAAATGTGTCCCCATGCAGTATGTACTGAGAGCAGCAGCGTGTCGCACGCGCCAGTACAAGCTGCAAGATTTGAGGCAGTGATTATAACATGTGTACATATGCGTCCCCCTCTACAATGGAAATTCGTCCAATAATAAAATTTCGTTACGCGCTGTGATGGGAACACAGACCAATCCAAGGAGACGTTGTATCATACTATCAATGAGACGAGGGCCATCGCCATGCATCGCCGCTGTGTTGACCTATCGCGGTAGAATCGCGATAGACTTCACCGTACTCCGAATCGAAACAATTATTGTGTTCACGTATCATCTAATAGACTAAATTAATTATTTTTTATGTTCATGAAGGGCAGACTAAAAGTCCAAAATGTATACCTTGTAGAGTGAATTCATCAAAACAATAACCTTCCGGGTTTCAAAAGAGGGGGACAAAAAAAAACCTTGGGGACAGAATTACCTGGAGGGGACAGAATTACCTGGAGGGGGACAGAATTAACGGGCCAGGGAGGACACTTTTACCTAGGTAATTCTGTCCCCCCGGACACTTTTACCGGGAGACAGAATTACCTTCCACACGGGATCCAGTGTAAACGCGGTTTATGAAGACATGGTAGAGGTCTTGCTGTTATTCAAGATATTCTGGGATTGAAGTTTATCTAAGTGGCGCTCCTCTTACCCGATAGCCTGCCTGTTCCTCAGCAATGATTTTCTGCGCTTGGGGCTTAAATCTGATCCTTTGCTCGGGTGGCTGATGAGACTTTTTGTTTTACAGTTTTGATAAAGTTGCCTTTCTTTCAAAGTGTGGTGACCGAGGAGTTTGTCCACGGAGTGGGCCATTCTCCTGTCTGCCAGATATTTTTGCAAATTGTTGTGAGGGCAATGATCAGGCCATCACCGCCAGTTATTAGAATAAGCTGTGCTGATAATGTTGTTGAGCCCAGGTGATTTCCCTTTCTTCAACGATCTATTGAGTTGCAACAGTTTTTTAAGTGGGGTCATCAAATCTATACTTACTTTAATGATTAGAGTCTGCATTTGTGTCCTCTAATTGTTGCAGGCATACATTGTGATAGATCACGCTCACTCTTGAGAACTTCAGCGTGATCCGACCGGAACTTGACAACAACTAAACGAATCCCCCGGATGATAGAGGGAAAAAAAATATCGGCAATACATTAATAAGTATTAGGATAAACCGACCACAACGATTAAGGCGTTTGTTCTAAAACAGGAAAGTGATTGATATCACGATTTAGTGTCAGGAAATA